TTTAAATTTAAATTAAAAATCACTCATACGCACCATTTGATAGGGATACTGACAGCTGCGAATAGAGCAAATAAAAGCGCTCCCATATATTGCACAAATGTCAAACACCTGGCCAAAGCCACTATATATAAAATTCATTTTGAAAGCAAGCCTTCACAGTGCCCCAGACTTGCCATACACTCACTCACCCTCAATGCTTCCTGTATCCCCATTTTCCCCCGATCAACAAAAGCTTAGGAAGAGAGCCGGTCTGAATTTTAAAAGCCCCTTCCAACCATCGACCAGCAATTAAGCCAGTTTGTAACAATAAATTTCAGTTGCTGGCAGCACGAGGTGTTTGCCAACTGTTCAGCTATATTGACTTTCAATTTGTGTGCCGGCCAGCTGGTTGGAATTTATTTTTAAGCTTCCTTTAAGGGCCATCAATGCAGAAGTTTTAAATTTGAAAGAGAGATTGGTACTAAAGATTGACGGTGTACTGATATCGTTTCGATATTGATAAGAAAAGTCTGTAAATCTTATTTTAAAGATTTATTTACGGGCATAATAATATCTTTACCAGAATTTTTTTATGAATTTTAAATTCAATTTACAATTTATTTGAAAAATATTTTTTTGTATATAAATTTTATAACAGTATAGTATATTTTTTAATTTTTGTTATATAGTTTTTTCACCCATTAACCAAATATTTAAATACCAATATTCAACTGATACTTCAAAAGGAAATGCAGGAGAAATACAGGTACATATTTCCTTTGAATGCATATGGAGTATATCCATTATATATTACAATTCCGGTCTCTATGGATTGGCAAACATTTGCCAATTGGCAAACAAATGCCAAATAAATCAAAATCAAACAAGAAGAACTGCAGCAACCCCTATGAAAAAGAAACCAAAACCCCAGTGGTGCCCTTAAAAACTTGTTCCCTTGGCCGCTTTACAAGCCGAGCTCAGTTCACCCCACCTGCAACTCACCTGGTTTCCCCGCCGCCTACCCACCCACCTGTGCTCTGTGCTCTTCGCCCCACAATGCGCTTGTACAAACACGTAATCGAATAATCCAATTTGTTTGCGCAAAAACTGAAACTTTTTCATAGGGCTTCAGTTGACGATGCCGCGCCGCCGTGACTCAGATCCCTCGGCCCCGGTCGCCTCTGTGGCCCTCACCTTTTGAGCTAATTGTTTGAGTGAGTTTCGGATTTAAGTGCAGATCCACCATCCTGCCGGCAAGCCCCCACGAAAGCCCCACAGTCCTTGTTCGATTTGGAATTGTCAGTAAAATGATGTAATTGTAACTCGGCACTTGGGATATCGATAGTTACCTCAACTTTTGTGTCGAGCGGTTTGAGGTTTTCTGTTGGCTGAAATCGTGGTATTATGAGAGGAAGTGCATTGGTTTATAGAATTCTGGCAATTTAATTTGGGACTCATAAAAGGCTAATTGGTTAGGCACTTTTACTAAGCTGAAATATAAACATAAATAGTTCAAGACATTTTGTATTTAAAAATTACACCAAAGCCATCCAATTTTGTTCTTTTATATTGAAGAGCTGGCCTAATTATAGTTACTTTCCTAGCCTGAATTCCTTTGAAAAGGATATCCGCAGAATTAGCTAGGAAATACTGTGCTGTAAATCCTTTTTATGGCCACTATTTTCTTTTCATTTACTGAAGACCATTACTTTTGGTTATGTGTGCCTTTGTTCGTCTTGCTTGAGATAGCCAGGACCGACAGATTCTCTCCTCAATTGAATACGATCCCTCGAACTACTATTTCCACGTCCATTGAAATCCTTTCAAGCAACTAATCCCCGCCATCGTTTCCCCTCCCTTGCGCTTGGGCCTTAATCAACCTTTTGTTCCATTCAATGTTGTCGCCGTGTTTGCTCCATTTCCAACCCAACCGATTTAGGCAACTGTATCCTGCAGACTGACCTTTCAATTAAATAAGCGTTCTGTTGGTCACCTAACCCAGGACCTCCAGCTGTGTGTGTTGAGAACCGGCCGCCTGCTCGTCCCCACCAGGCGCCACCCACCAAGGCCACCGCCACCTGCCGTTTGCGTTGTTGGTCATCTTTCCGCACTCACATGAAGGCATTGTTTTTTTGTTGCCACAATCTTGTCAAACATTGGTTGCCCTTCTTTCGAGCAGAAGTTCCACTTTAAAGGCAGCTGCAAATGAATGAAAGAAAATTGCACTGAAAATCAAGCTCCAAAAATGAAAAGAGGATAATTTACTAAATATTATTCCATATTTTAGAACAAACATTCTTTAGATAAAAATTTAGATAAAACTTTATGGAATAGATGATACTCATAAATTACCTAAATAATTTAAAGTCCAGGTTCTGGCTGTCATTCCCCTAATATTTTCAGTGCAGCTAAGCAAAATCTCTACACTTGACGTATACAGATTTTTGTAGTCCTGCCTGAAGGCAAATTTTGCACTCTATCTTTGGCTGCAGCTTTGGGTTGCCAGCTGTCAATAGACTGACTCCGGCAAAGACAGATTCCCAGCTCCCAGGGATGAGCGGATGAATAGCTGGCTAATCCAGCTGCTTATTACTGCAAGGAGAGACGCGTGTGGCCAAAGTAATATGCGCTTTCAGCCCGAGACAAACAGCAATAGCGGCAAACTTATCCTCCCTCCTCCATCCTTCGTCCGTTGGTGTGCGTGCGCCGGAAGCCCTTGTGGGTTAGGGGTGGGCATCAGGTAACAGGACAGGCCAAGGTGAGAAGCGAGCGGAAGGAAGGCAGCAGGAGCGGAAGCACGGAACGCGACACTTTATGACTTGGACGGGGGGGGCAGGGTGTGGTTAGCTTTGTCTGGATGTGCTGCCAGGCCATGAAATGGCAGCTGACAAGGCGGCAAACTCTTTTCTACACAGAGAATGTGAAACTTGTAGTTATATTTGAATTTTTTAGCAAGAAGAATATTTAAAGGATATAGCTAAATACTCAGAAAACAAGATTGAAAATAGAAAACATCTACAGTGAAATATATTTTCCCATTTGGAATTGATACATTTTCTTAGCGTGCACTTTGGTTAGACTCTGCCACCCCCAACCGATTCAGCAACCCCTCGACTGGAATTAGGATTGCATTGTCTAAGGGCTCAGCTCAGTTTTCTGTTCGGTTTTTCAGCTTTTCAGCTCAGTGTTCTCAGTCCTCAGTGCTCGGGTTCTTGGTTCAGTTTTGCAGTTTGTGCGTCAACTCTTTGGCTCAAGTGCGGGCCACATTTCATAGGCTTCCCAGAGCAACCTCCGCACCGAAGACACCCCTTCGATGCTCACCCCTTCCCTTCGCTGGAAGACGCGACACAAATTAGCCATCTTTTTTGCATTCTTTTTTTTGCAGTCTTTCCATTTGGCTGAGAACATTTTCAGTTTGCTTTGCAGTGCACAACTGGCAACAGTCGACGGGCTTTATTCGATTCGCCTTTCGCTAGATTCTTTTTGTGAGGCGGCAAGGAAATTATCAGACAAGTTAACCAAGGAAAAGAATTTAATTCGCAAGTCTCAAACTGAATTTCTTGGCCTGTCGCTGGCTAATTCAATTGCTGTTGCCTGCCAGTGAGCGGAGAGTTATTGCAAATAACTAATTCGGTTTGTGCTGCAAGTGAAACGGAATAAAAATATCCGGATCAGTGGTTCAGTGAATCTGTATTTCATTTAATTAAAGAAAACATTGTGGATATGAACTACTTAGAGACCATGTTATGGTAAGGGGATAAAATATCTCAAAATGTTATTAAGTCAAAAGCAGAAATAGCTATTTTAATTAATAAAGAAGAGACTTTGCAAAAAAAATACATATTTAAATATTTTCAAAGGAAAAGTTCACACAAAATGCACGCATTTTATATGCTTTTTCTAAAATCAACATTCCATGTTCTATTAATAAATTAAAATATACTAACTTGAACTTATTAAAAAATGTCTAAATATATGTGTTTTCCCTTTATTTCTTATTTTTTATCAACTCAAGGGTACTCTGTGCGCAATATTTGTTTTGCTTTTGCCAATATTTGTTCACGTAATTTCCTATGGCATCCATCCGCAGCTGCCAAGTTTTTCATGTTGGCTTTTTATTGTTTTTTTTCCCTTGGTTGGTGGGCCCTTTGGCCAATTGCTGCTTGTTCACTCAAATGATGCGTAAAAATCACATTAGCGGCAGCCGTGCGACATTTTGGCCAGCTCCAAGGTCTCAATGCCCCAAAGTATGCTTTATCTTCCGGGGGAGGTTTGCATCCGTTTTAGCCAATTAAACCTTAAGCTGGTGCGACCTTAGCCAAGTTTTACTTTTTTTTTTAATTTATGGTACACGAATACAGGCTAAAATTTTAATGGGACTCGGGAGAAGAGATTGCTATGAGTTTTTATGAAACTTTACCTAGGTTTTGTGACTAAAAATGAAGCAAATTTGAAGTAGAGGGTAACTTTAAAATGGAACATCAAGAAAGGATATATATTTTAGGCGTTGTTGATCTAATATATAGTTAAATATTATTAATTAGAGTACAAACAACACGCTGATCTAAAAATCTTTCATTACTGTAATTGCAATAAACACACTTTTTCCTTTTACCAATCTCGTTAGCTCGAATTAGTATTTGGCTTTATGTGCATTTTTGGCCCATCTAGTTCTACTTGATTTTCCATCCTGAACTACACTCGGCTTTTGTGTTCTTCCCGTATATATGTGCTTAGGTCCTGACGGCAGGTTTTCATATATTTTTACTTCTTTTTCGTTTTGCTATTTTTGCTGCCTGTGACTGGCATGAAAAGCATTTTACACATGGCAGCATTTTTTAATTTTGCCAACCGGCTTTTAGAAATGGAACAGCAACACACACGCGCCGACACACACAGGTGTGTGTGTGTGTGTGTGTGTGTGTGTGTAGTGCAACATGCACTTACTAATTAGAAATAAAAACGCGAACTGTACTTGCTCATTACGTTCTCTCTGCCAGTTTTCCGGTTCTGTTTATTATTTATTTGCGCCACCCTTTGGCGCTGGCACTTTGTGCTAAAACATAGGGTGGCTGGTCGCTTGTTTGGAAATAATAGACACCCTGTCTCTGGGCCAAGAACTCCGTCGACGCGTTGGCCAAATCACCGCCCATGGTCTGGCTGATCCCCGTATCCGTGGGGCAGCGTTGGAATCGGGTCAACTGGTTCCACTCGTCGGCTTGACATCCGCGGGATACGAATCCCGTATTCTGATCTCGGAGAAGACTCTCGGCAAAGAGCATGAAAGCCCGCCAGTGGCTGCATTCGTTCCAAAAGCAGCCAGGCTGCTGGCTACCCCAGTTGGCATAGAAATCCGCATGGCCCAGGGGTCGGTCGAATCCATAGCTGCCCACACTTGTGTGCAGCACCTCCACATAGTCGGCGTCCCCCGGTGCAAGTCGTTCCTTTTCCTGGGCGTATCGAAAGAAGGGAAGAGCCGGATCCAAGGCCCGGATCATTTGAAGTCGTCCTGTCTGAAGGTGCTTTCCCGCCAGACCTGCCACATGGGCGCCCATGCTGAAGCCCACCAACTGCAGGTCCTCAAATCGCAGACCCGCCTCCTGATGCAGGAAGTCCACAAATTTGGCCAGAACCTGGCCCACTGGCTTCACCCGGTAACTGGCCGTTACGTAGTCTGCTATGGCACCACGGCCCCAGTCCACTGTGAAGATATTATAGGTGCCATTATTCAGATCGAAATAGGGTGGCAGTAGAGCAGTATATATGTTGGCATTTGCATTCCCCAGCCAGCCATGAATCAGGATGCTAAGGAAGACGTAAAGGATAAGAGATAATGATAAAACATCGTATACAGACGATCCCCAGTCGCTTACCGTGTGGGATTGAAGGGATTGAAGCGCGACCTACGCAGAGAGGCGGCATCATAGAGATTCACCTGTTCGCTGGTGACCGCCACCAGGTCCTTGTTCATCACGTTGAGGCCAAAGGCAGCGGTCAGCGTGCTGCCCACGACCTGCTGAAAAAGTCTTCGATGCGGTGGCTCCACGGCTTTCGGAGGTGAGTCCCGGGCAAGCGTGTGCAGGTGGAAATAGGTGTGGTGGTCGGCATTGTATAGCAATTTGTAGTCCGGCTGCAGGCGGAGTAATTGCTGCTCAACCGTGCTGCTGGGCCCGCTGGCCAGGTTGGGTCCTCCCAATATTGGCAGCTGCCCGGGACTCATTAGGCCAGACAGCAGTGCCATTTGTGTGTCAAAGTAGTTGGCCTGCCACCGCCGCCGCTCATGGCCCCGATTCCTCATCCGCATCAGCATCGTTCTCATTCGGATGGCACTTTCCACTTCATTTGTCACTTTTACTTGCACTGCGGGTCTTGGCCTCACCTCCGCCAGCGCCTCTGCCTTCATCTCCATATCCTCCTGCAATTGATTGTTGTCTGCAGCGGCATTATAGTCCCCGAACCCCATCTCAAGCCCAAGCCGGGCCCTGTAATCAGGCTCTGTCAGCCTTGCCGCAGCGAGCCACAAACAAACTGGTGTCAACGAAATGAAAGTGCATTAGGCTCGAAACTGTGCAACTAGACCAATCGGCAAATGAGCAGGGCACACACAGACAAAAACGAATCCATTTGATGGGCTTAGAAATTAGTGGATTGAATTTCAAACTAGAGTCCATAAACACTATCGCGGCACATTACTATTCTATTCTGGTTTAATTAGAGAAGAAGCTATTAGCAATCGAAGCTCATGGATGTTAAGTGTGATTTGTATGTGTAATTAGGTTACCTATCTACTACTATATTTTTATTTAGCCGATAAACAGAGAATAGATCACGGGAAGGAGAGAATTACAAACATAGTTCTAGTAAAAAATACATTTAAAACCAACACTTGACTTTTCCACAATGCCAAAAATCACGCACTTTCTTTTATTAATTTGTTTACTTTTTCTTTTAAATAAATTTGTTTTGGAACATCCCGATAACATTTATGCTGCCTCATTTCGACAAATATTTTTCGCTGTGTGTGAATCGAATGCTGTCCCAATCAATGATAATGATGATAGTCACCTGCCTGAAATAAGACAACCGAGTGCACAGCAATCCGCATCTTTCGAATATCCGTTCCTTCCTCAAAGAAATGGGATTGACAACTGAACTGATGTGGGCCAGTGTCTTTGACACATTTTCGATCATCTCTTCTCGAGCTGCATTTCTTTCTCTCCGGCTTTTTTCGGCTGATTAATATGCAGAACTTCACACTTATTCTCTCACTCGCAGCTTCAGCTTCTTCATTGATTTCTTCTTAACAAGCGGCAATTGTTAATGGCTGAGTTGGCCGGAATTACCGTGTGAGTGCTCTCCCATTAGCTGCTAATCTGTTGGGTCAACAAAAGTTCTTCGAGTGAGTGGATGCGTGCCCAAGGAGGGTAATCTGTGCCAGTGACCAACTTTTAGGCCATTTAGCACTCGAGACATTTTTGGTATAGGTCATTATAGGAACTATAAATATATTTTTGCCTTTTTAAAGATTAAAATTCAATGTAGTGAAAATTTTAATGTAAAGATTTAATTGTGAAAATAATTTCCCATCAGCACCAACTTTAATCCTTAGTTTAACACATTAATCTGCCATATTTTGTGCTGACCCAGTATTCAACAGTTATTGACAACTTTCCGGCATTAAAATATCAACAGTGGTTGCTCTGGCTTTCGGAGCTCAACTGAAACCAAAGCCACATAATTGTGACCACGATTGCTGGTTCTCGGATTGTACTTTCTCTTTGGTCAGTCTGCAATGTGAGCAATTCGCTTTCGTTGCATATGAGTTATATAATTTCAATTAGCCTACATTTAAATGCCTGGCTTTCTCAGCTAAAAACTTACATCACAAAGAACTTCTGCAGAGGACTAATACACTTAACACAGAGCCTAATTTTAAATTTAATTTTGTATTTAGCATTCATATCTCCTTTCCCAATTTACCTTATCCTGCCCATAAAATTAGCATGCATATGCCTCTGGCAAAAACATACTAATCGAAATTTCTCCTGTTTGTTTACTTTGCAGGTAAGTTCACATATTTCCGCGAACCGGAACCGCGTGAGGGAGACCCCACCGCGACCACTCCGCCCACCGGAAGTGTGGTGTTCGCCATTTTAACGACATCCGGAGCGTGCATTTCTTGTGTGGAAAATAAGGAGCAACGAAGCAGGAGCCCTACATAAAGCTGTTTTCCTCTGGGTTTATCGGTGATCGCAGAACGTGACGAAAACAACGAGAACATAAAATATGTGTAGGGGTGAATAACAGCAGATAAACGAAGGTAACCATATCGTAGACCCCTCTCGTATCGGGATTTTTTCATATTGAATATTATGATGTCACGGGGCATGCGAGGACATTTCAATTCCCCCCAGCAAACACTTCCTTTACGGACCCTGATGATGTTGATACGGCACAAGTTCAATGTACAATCTTTTGTTAGTCGCTGACTGGATTTCTGCATTTGCATTTTTTGCAGCTTCGTCCCCATTGTTGTTGCAATGCGACACTCAGACAGGATTTGTGTTTTTATGCGGGAGCAGGAGCTGTAGATAGAGTGGGGGGAGAGGGGATGAAAAACAATAACGCGACAATAATCGATTAAAAACAGCGACTGCGAAAAGGAACTCCAGCCGTCTGAGCTTTGTTTGCCTTTTACTTTATGGCCGCAAGCTCGAAAATGTCACTCGAGTGACTTTTATTACGAGGATATTCAAAGGCTAGCTAAGGGAGTAGGATGTTTGGTGCCCTGGTACTCCGGTACTCCGGTCTATTTGCCCGCAGAATCCTTGAGCCGGTCTTTGGTGTCAGCATTTAGCAGACGAGTGTGCTGCCCCCAACCTTCCACCGCACATATGCGGGCGTGTATCCTTCCCTGACTTGCCTCCTCGAAAAAAGCATTTTCTCAAGTGGCACTTGTCGCACTGCATCCTGCGAGCATAAGCAGGATGCGTCGCCTCAAAAGCCGCTGAGTCAGCCCCATATCCTTCTGTATTCCTCTCTACCGGCGCTGGGTTGTTGTGTGCAAACAATGAGCGGCATAAACGAATTTGTTACATCAGTTAAGGCCGACAGAAATTGTTGACATCAAATTTTATGGCTAGGCAAAGGAAGTATCACTTCAGAAAAGTATATTAGAATGTGAACTGGTACGGGGGAATGGAAGGCTGTTGAAGCATAGTTCAAACTATTTGAGGGGCTTTCCTGCCTGGCATTTATTGCTAATTATTATTTGTACAGATAATCTTATATAAGTTTTAACTTTTCTTATTTGGGGATATACTTTTTATAACTGAGCAGAGAAAATAAACAAAAGGTTGACGGGGGGATTAAAAGTTTATAAAAAGCAGAATTAATTTTAAAGAAAACGTAATCCAATATATTTCAAAAGTTCTTCCTTAATTTTCTATCCAAGTGATTTTAAATACTTTTCGTTTTCACATATTCTTAGCTAATTGGAATTTAAATATACATTTTTACATAGAATTTACAGGGGTACGACTTTAATTCCTTTAACATTCTGTTAAATGACATTCGTTGTTATCCTTTATCCGTTAGCATTGAAAGCTTATTCACCAAGCTTTTATCAGAGCTTACAAGCTTCAAGTCCTGTGTCCAGGATAGTCCTATATTTTTCCATCCTTTGAAAGCTTTGTAAACCAGCTTTTTGGGATTTAAAGGATGTGTGCTTTTTGTGAGCTTTTAAACGCATGTCTGCCTTCTATTACTACTAATTTCTTTAAGGATTTTCGGTCAAAAATATATTTTTTCCAATAAATTTATTAACAGTTTAAATAATAAATAATTGGTATTTATCAATTTATATCAAAGTAAATACATTTTATTAAATAAAACATTAAAACAGCAACCCAAGCTCAAATCGCTCTCATGCTTTCCTTCCTTAAGCTAACTGCTTCTATTTATAGGAAACCCTTTTAGTTAATTTCCCTGAGAGAGCCTTGAACCAAGAGGAACTTCCGACCCGTCAGAGTCCTTCAGACGCCAAAGTGGCCACTTGCCTGTGATGTCTGGTTTTGTGTGACAACCTCAAGTGGTGTCTTTGGAGATTCCCTCGTTGCATAGCATCCTTTCTACCTGTGACACTCTAACGCTCTGATTCTCTATGCAAATGAGCAAGTTCTGGGCCTGCGGTCTATGTGTCCGAGCCAACTCCTTGCGTCCTTGCAACATACTTGTTGAGGGATGCTTGCCGTAATTTGAGACTTTTTATAGGGCGCTGGTCTCACGTTTGTCACACCTATTAATTAACAAAATTACACTAAAAGCGAGACGGGCAAATCCTATAAGCTATACATGTGTTTGGCTTTTGTCTACAAGTTGAGAAGAGATATAGTACAGTGGAAAAAAATACGAATTTAAATCAAGGAAATAATTTTTATTTATTTAAATATGGGTTGTATTCAATAAGTTCCCTTCTATATCATAATTGATGTGATTTTATTATTTAATTAAGGATTTTATTATTAGAATTATTTCTCTATTCTGCAACAATTTTTATTACCAGTGCACTTGGTCATTTCGCTGCTGTCAGCCTGTGAATGAGTGCGAGAAAACGGGAGCAGGAGTCGCTGGTTTCCCATTTCCGAGTGGGTTGACTTGAAAGCGTTTTTCCGACTGCAGGTCCTTGCCCCTCCGTCTGGAGTATGTGCGTGTGTGTGTATTTCTCTTAATGCACTTTCAAGCACTTAATAAGCTCACAAAAGCACCGGCAATTTGCATATGGCTGGGTTAAGGGGGCCACGGGGCACCACTTACCTTAACCCTTGAGTTTTTCCGAGCATTTACGTGCACAGCCACCACCACAGCTGTATGTCCTTTCGAAATCCACATCCTCTGCCATTTAGTGTTATGTTAGTGAGTGTGTGTGTACTGAACGTTTACCTTTTCATCATTTTTGAAGTGCATGAGTGCAAGTGCGTGTCCTCTGTCTCTCTCTCTCTCTCTCTCTCTCTCTCTCTTGGTATCTCTCTGTATGTTCCCATGTCCTTTTCTGCCATCACACTCTCTCTTTCCCTTTCTATGCAATGCCGGCAAACTTGGTTGGCAATTTTATTTTTAGGTCAACGTAATTTCCGCACTTTTTATCACCAGCTTCCGCTTTTTTTACATAAGAGTTTTGTCCTGGTTTCTTAGTGTTTATTGTTTTGTTATGGCAATCAGTTCCTTGAAAGGGTTAATGTTAGGTCCTTAAAACGGAGGTGGTTGACCGATAAGGGAAAGCAAGATCTTAATGCAAAATATACACGCGGTGCTCGCGGAAAAGTTTATTGAAGAAATTAATATTTAAGAAAATTGTGTGAATATTTTTAAAGCAAAGGAAGTCTTAAGATTGTTAAAAACCTTTACCTTTATATCAGTTAA